AGTGCAGCAGCCGCTCCCAGCCACTGCAGCCTCGACATGCTGGGCTCCGGTGATCCTTCCGAGTAGCCGGAATTACAGGCGCGCGCTACCACGCCTGGCTAATTTTTTGATTTATTATAGAGATGAAGTCTCACCTGCCCAGGCGGGTCTCGAACCCACGGGCTCAGGCAATCCACTCACCTCAGCCTCCCAAAGGTGCAGGATTACAGGCTGAGCCACCGAGCCCGGCTTGTGTCCAGTTTTATTATAACCTTTTGGGGAGAGGATTTGTTGAGCTCTTTTCTCTGTTACTCCGGAAGTCTAGCCCTTCTTATCTTTTCTTTTTGAGTTGGAGTGTCACTCTGTCACCCAGGCTGGAGTGCAGTGGCCGCTCCCGGCCACCGCAGCCTTGAACTTCTGGGCTCTGGCGATCCTTCCGCCTCAGCCTTCCGGGTAGCTGGAACTACAGGCATGTGCTGCCATGCCCATCTAATTTTTTTTTTTTAATTTATCATAGAGGTGAGGTCTCACCATGTTGCCCAGGCTGGTCTTAAACCCTCAGACCAGGCAATCCTCTTGCCTCAGCCTCCCAAATTGCTGGGATTACAGGCTTGAGCCACCGTGCCTGGCCCCCTCTCGTCTTTTTAGTGGCCACGTAGTGTTCCATATTTTTGCTTTCCCATGATTCTGTTTGTCAGCCCCCACCGATACTGTGCAGGTTCCTTCCTCTTCTTGCCAGGCAGACTGTTCTGCATGGAGGCTCCTGCCCTGAGCTCTTGGGCACATCTCTTCCTGAGCACTCCCCACCTGCCTGGGGGTCAGAGCTGCCCAAGCCTCTTCCTCTGAAACTCTTGTTTTCCCAGGGAAGACACTGATCAAGGTGGCAGAAGCAGAAAAGCGGTTGGGAGCCGCAGAGAGGGATCTCATCCACACGTCCTCCATCAGCCTCCTTACACCCCTGCGCAACTTCCTGGAAGGGGACTGGAAGACGATCTCGGTGAGGGCCCTGGGCCATACTGCCTGCTGTGAACCGTGGCAGCCTCTCCTCTTGTGCTGGGGCCCCAAGGGCAGCGCCCGGGGACTGAGTGATTTGGCGTGACTTCCCATCTCTGGGCCTCAGTTTCCCTTTTTCTGTTTTGTTATTTTTTTGGAGTGTCACTCTGTCCCCCAGGCTGGAGTGCAGTGGCCATTCCCGGCCACCATAGCCTCGACCTGCTGGGCTCCGGCGATCCTTCCGCCTCCTCCTTCCGAGTAGCTGGAACTACAGGCGCGCGCTACCATGCCTGGCTGATTTTTGATTTACTGTAGAGATGAGGTCTCGCCAAGTTGCCCAGGCGGGTCTCGAACCCGTGGGCTCAGGCAATTCACTCACCTCGGCCTCGCAAAGCGCGGGATTACAGGGTGAGCCACTGAGCCCGGCCTTGTTTTGTTTTGAGTGGAGTCTCACTTTGTTTCCCAGGCTGGTGTGCAGTGGCACGATCGCAGCTCACTGCAACCTCGACCTCCTGGGCTCAGGCAGTCCTTCGGCCTCAGCCTTCCGAGTAGCTGGGACTACAGGTGTGTGCCACCACACCCAGCTACTTTTTTTATTTTTGTTTTTGTTTTTTATAGAGATGAGGTCTTGCTAAGTTGTCCAGGCTGGTCTCAAACTCCTGGGCTCAAGCAGTCCTCCCGCCTTGGACTCCCAAAGTGCTGGGATTACAGGCTTGAGCCACCACACCCAGCCGTTTCCCTGTCTTGGCCAGTCTTGCCACACACAGCTGAAGGTCTCTTGGGGCTGCCCAGGTTCTCACTGCTCCCTGTGCTCCACCTTGCAGAAGGAGAGGCGGCTCCTCCAAAACCGGCGTCTGGACTTGGATGCCTGCAAGGCACGGCTGAAGAAGGCCAAGGCCGCAGAAGCCAAAGCCACGGTAGGTGTCCCTGCCGGCCTCCTGGCCCTCTCTGAGCTCTGGCTGGAGCCAAGGGGAGGGCGCGTGAAGGGGCCTGGTATTTGGCATGCCCTCTCTACCCTTTCCCTGGCTGGGGGGTGCTGGCTGGCCACTCAGGCCATACTGCTCTGTCCTCACCCCCAAGGGAACCCTGGTAGCTCCAGCACTCTGGATCCCAGGGCAGACATTTGTGGGGTGGGTGGACCAGCAGTGCCTCCCCTGGGTGCAGGGTACCCCACAGCCCCCCAGACAGCCAGCTGGAGTCTCTCGCATGCCCTGCCCTGCCTGTCCTCGACTTGCCTCTGACCCCGGCTCTGCCTGGGCATGGCACCCCTCACTAACTCCCCACCTGCTGCTTGAATCCTGGCTCTGGGCACCCTGTGCTCAGGCGCCCCTGACATGGTGCGGAGAGCCCCAAAGCGGGACCACCCAGCTGCTCAGGGCCGTGTCTGTAGGGCCCTATCAGTCGCTCCATGAGAGTGTACCGGGCCTGGGCTGGCCCAGCTCCCCCTTCTCTCCCAGCGTACTCGTTGGCCCGGCATGGGACGGTTTGCCCAGCGCCGGGCCAGGGTTGGAGGAGCTGGGCCCAAGGGTGAGCACACACCTACAGCCTCTCAGGGGCGTAGGGACCCAAAGGCCACCTCACGCCCTGCAGAGGGAACTCCCAGGCCCCAGACATGCTAGGAGATTGCCACCCGTTCCTGCCCAGGTGCACAGCTGCCTGTGACGGCCCTGGCCCAAGCCTGCTCGCATCCCCTCCCAGTGTGGCCCTGGAACTGACCCTGCTCCTGGTGAGAGCCCTGGCAGGGCCTCCACTCCCTTGGATGTGTAGGGCCTAGATCCAGGCAGGGGCCCAGCTGATAGTCTTGCTGGGGGCCTGTGGCTCTTCCCAGGCACCCGAGCAGGACAGTCGCCCCCATTGCTCCAGCCTGGACAGACCCAGTCAGCCAGGCCCAGGGAGCCTTTCCGCAGTCACTGCAGGGTGTGGCCCCTCTGGAGCTGGGCCCTGGGCGGCCCCAGGAATGGTGTCCCAGAGGACTCCAGCCCGCAGCTCTGCCCCAACACAAGAACACACCCGCCAGGACTCCCTCCCCGGGACTGCGTGTGTCCAGCCACCTGTCTGCCTCGCGTCCCCTCCCACCAGGGCCTGGGGGCCTGTTCCTGCCCGCGCTTGGACTCACTAACTCTCTGTTTTTGTTCCTTTCCGTTCTGCTTTGGGTAACTTGGCTCAGTGTGAGGGAGATGTGAGTATACCTGCCCCACGTGCTGTGCTGCTTCGGGTCTGCCCATCTTGCCCGTGGGCCCACGGTGCCGTGGCCAGCCCATGTCCTTAGGGCACTTTGCAAGCAGCTGGTCTCCCTGCCAGAGCCTCTCCCGGGCGGGGCCTCTGGCTTCAGGGGGATGCCAGGCACTGGAGCCTGTGAGTCAGCTTTTTGCAAACACTGAACACCTGTCCCTCTGTCTGTCTGTGCATCCATCTATCCACCCTCATGCGGGGCGGGACCTGGCCCTTGATGCAGGCGTGAGAGATGTGTGCGGAGGTTCTGGCTGGGTAGAGCTGTGGTGGGGAGCGGACTCTGCTGGGGGTGTCTGAGTGTGACTGGTGCAGGGAGGAGGGGCGGTGGCCCTGGCTTACCCAGAAGCAAGGGCTGTGACAGCAGCTGCAGCTGTCTCTCGAGCATCTGCTCTCATGGCTCCCAGTGCATCCACCTGCTCGATCTCTGTCTGGACTCACCAAGTCCTTGGCTCCCTCCCACTTTCAGGTGGTTGGAGTCGGGAGAAGGTGGTCTGGGTTGTGTCTATCCCCCCATCCCTGGGGCTGGAGCCTCCTGGCATCTCCTTGTGGGAGACTCTGGGGTGGCCTCCTGGCCTTGACCCTGGCCCTGGCCCAGAGTGACCCCCTCCCCCCATGGACTCTGTTCCCTGCCAGACGGTGCCCGACTTTCAGGAGACTAGACCTCGTAATTACATTCTCTCGGCCAGCGCCTCCGCGGTAAGCGTCCCGCCCCTCACCTCGGCCTCTTCTCCCCCCACACTCCACCCTAGGCCCTGACCGCACAGGAGCCAGTGGGTAAGATTGGAGGCACCGCCACATGACAGGGCCAGTCCTGAGAGGCTGGGACAAGCAGCAGCCCTGACCTCTGTCTGCGGCCTGGCCCTGTGACTGTGTGGCTGGACTTGCCTCTCCCACCCACACTAAGAGCATGGTGCACTGAGGATGGTGGCCATCCCGTCGCTGGGGACCCTGAGTCTGCACACCCCCACCTCAGGAGGTCCCACTGCCCACCCCTGCACCAGCTCTGAACGTCAGGCCCTGAGGCCTTCCCTGAGTTCACAGACTCTGACAGGCGACAAGGACGCTGTGGGCACAGCAGTGGCCTCTGTGGTGCACCTGTGAGGTGTGGGGCACGAGGAGGGGCCTGGAGAGGCCTGGGATGGGGAGGGAGGCCCAGAGGACAGTAAGCAGGGTGTGTTCTGAGGAGGGTGTGGGCCTGGGGCTGGGTTGGGAAGGCCGTGTTGTCTTAGTACCTGTTGGTTTTTTCCAGCACTGTTGAGATATCTGGCATTTACTGTTTAGTGTGGGGACTAGGCCACACCTCTCCCTCATGCCTGTCAAGACCACAGCTGTGCCTTTTCGCCCTGTCTCCTTCCCTGTCCTGGGGATGAGACCCTCACGCACAAGCCCTTGACCCTCACCTGTCACGCACATGCTGCCACATGTCATGCTATCGTTCTGTGGCGGTGATTGATCCTGGGGGGCACAGGTCCGAGGTAGCTCTGGCAGGCCTGTGGCGAGGCCTTGTTGTGGGGCAAGCGGTGGATGGTCCCGTGGGTGGGCCTCCTGTGTGGCCCTGAGGCCCACAGAGGTGGCCTGGGTCTAGGTTTGGCATATCAGGTCGTGTCTTAGGTAAGCCCTCCAGAGGTGGGCAGGGGCAGTGATCTCCGGAGTCATGGCGGGGGGAGAGGATCTTTCTTCTTTAGACTCCAACGCCACTTCGTGCCCTCCTCCCTGGGTGCATGGTAGGAGCAGCACCCTGGAGGGTAGAGACCACCCTGTGTGTTCTCTTGCCACTGAGCCAGAGAACGGAAAGATTCAGTGGCTGACCTAGGGTCACACAGTCCTGCCTCCCAGCCACCAGCCTTAGCCGCAAGTCAGGGCGGGGTGGGGGCACTCAGTCTTCAAGACCCTGTGGAGTCTGGGCTGACACTGCAGGAGACACACAAGCAGGACTCCCAGCTGGCTGTCCCCCCCTGCATGCACACCTTGGACAGATGGGACTGCCTACCCTGCCCCCTCCTTGGGGGTGGGGCAGTGGAATAGAGTGGGCCGAGGCTGGGTCTCTGGGTCTAGCTGTCCTCCCTCTCTCCTGCTGACCGGTCCTATTGTGGTCTCTGCAGCTCTGGAATGATGAGGTGGACAAGGTGAGTTGGGGCCTGGGGGGTGAGGTCTGGTCTCACCTGCTGTTGCGGGGTCGGGTCTGTGTCTAGCTCTGGGATCTGCCCACACCCGCTGGGGTGACTGCTTTCCCTACAGGGCCCAGAGCACACAGTAGGCCCTCGGAGGCCTCTGCTAGGTGGATTTCTCCCAGTGGGTGGCGGGGGGGTCCGCCACCATGGCTGCCAATGGAGGTCCTGAGTCCGGCTCCAGGTGTGCATCAGGCATAGACCCGGGCAGCCCCCAGCATCCCCCAGGGGAAGGGCCAGGTCCTCTGCACAGGCCTTGGGGATGCAACGGAAGGCTAGGGGAGGCTGGTGGGCGAAGTGGGCACTCACATCTGCTCTGCTGTGCCCAGGCCGAGCAGGAGCTCCGTGTGGCGCAGACAGAGTTTGACCGGCAGGCAGAAGTCACCCGTCTCCTGCTGGAGGGAATCAGCAGTACTCACGTGAGTCCCACCCTCCCGCTGCTGAAGGGCCTTCGTGACCTGAGGGGGGTACTAGGCCCACTGGGAAGGGGGTCCCCATCCTCCCCCAGTGTGGTGGGTGCCGGGGCCAGGGTCTGGCAGACGTCTTGGGTGGAGGGGAGAAGTCACCTGTCCCGGGAGAGGTGAGAAGTCACCCTGGCCTCCTCCCCACAGGTGAACCACCTGCGCTGCCTCCACGAGTTTGTCAAGGCTCAGACCACTTACTACGCGCAGTGCTACCGCCACATGCTGGACCTGCAGAAGCAGCTGGGCAGGTGTGGGGCTGGCGCCCCGGCCCCCTGGGGCCCCCTGGCTCCTCCGGGCAAGGGCCTGTAACACAGACCAGAGGGCTCTGCCCAGAAGGCTCTCTGGGCCTGGCTCCTCATAGACGAGGGTGGGGTGGCCGGCCCTGGTGACCGCTGAGCCCCCTGGGGCTGGGGGCCGTCTGTAGGGAACGAAGGGTGGCGAGGATGGCGGGACGAGGGCTGGGTCGTCTCACTCTGCTATGCCTTTCCCTTTGTGCTGCCAGCTCCCAGGGCGCCATGTGAGTAGCCAGGGTGGGGGTCTGCTGGGGCTAGGGCGGCCCCTGCCTCCGGGTATGTGGACCCCGACGGCTGACCCCCTCCTCCGCTCCAGATTTCCAGGCACCTTCGTGGGCACCACGGAGCCCTCCTCCCCGCCCCTGAGCAGCACCTCGCCCACCACCGCTGCAGCCACCATGCCCGTGGTACCCTCTGTGGCTGGCTTGGGCCCTCCGGCGGAGGCTGCGCTCTGCCTGGAGGAGGTGGCCCCTCCCGCCAGCGGGACCCGCAAGGCCCGGGTGCTCTACGACTACGAGGCAGCCGACAGCAGCGAGCTGGCCCTGCTGGCTGATGAGGTGGGCTTGGTGCCACGTGGGGCGAGAACAGCTGGGGGACGGGCCCTGGGCAGGGCGTCCGCTCTGGTCTCAGTGGAGCCGGGAAAGGCACACCCGCCCTGAAACGCGGAGGCCCTGGTTGTGGGGAGGGGCGGTCGTGTCCCCACTGGTCCCCCCACTGGTCCTGGGTTCTGCCCTGGCCGGGCTGTGACCTTCCTCTGCGTCTCTGCAGCTCATCACCGTCTACAGCCTGCCCGGCATGGACCCCGACTGGCTCGTTGGCGAGAGAGGCAACAAAAAGGGCAAGGTCCCGGTCACCTACTTGGAGCTGCTCAGCTAGGCAGGCCCCGCCCAGCCCCGGCCGTGCTGGCCTGGCAGGAGAGGACGGGCGCAGTCCTGCCACTCACCTGGCCTGCTGGTGACACAGCTGCTCAGGGTGGGGACATCAGCTCACCCTTTGTCGTGCTCCGTCACCCAACTGTGAGGGAGCCCAAGGCTGAATGGCCCCCGCCCCTCCCCCAGCCCTGCTTCTGACCTGCGGCTCTGGAGCCCCCTCCTGCCTGCATCCTCGAGCACTTGGCCTCCCCGTGTGGCCTCCCCTTCCACTAAGAGGGAGGGGTGGGCTGCAGCAGCTGCGCTCGCCTGGGCTGGGTGGGGCCGCCATAGACGGGCTGGGAAGCCCTGGGTGCGCCCTTGGCAAGAGAGCACCTGCTTTTTAGTTGCCAAAGTACGCAAAGGGGGGCAGCGGTGAGGCAGACAGGGCCCTGGCAGACCCCAGGACTGGGTGCTGCCTCTCTGGGAGGGGAGAGCCTGTCAGGGGCCGGCTGGCCGGAGCAGCATCTTCCGGTGCTAGCCTACCCTCCACAGCTCAAGCCAATCCGGCGGCTGCAGCCTTCACCTCTCCACACTCACTTTTTAACTGGTGTTTTTACTTCTGCCTGTCTGCTTGCTCTCTAGCCAATGACAAATAAACCCTTGTGTGCGAGTCGCCTAGGCTCCTGTCAGGCTGGCCCTGAGCCGGGGGGAGATATCCCCTTTGCCCTGCTCCTTCAGGGTGGGGTGATCCACCCCCAAACACACACACTGGGGCAGAGGGAAGGGAAAGGTCCTCAAGGCAGGAAGTACAGCCTGCCTGCCCTCCTTTTTCCCACGGGGCCTGTGCTGTCCTGGACCCGAAACCACACAGGAAAAATCTGACTCCTAAGAGAAATGTTCCTAAATTGGGATTGTTGAGTAGGCTGCAGGATGTGCCTGGCAGTTTCGGCTCAAATAACAGGTTCTCTCAGGGCTTGCTGCAGGTCAGGCATGGAGCCCAGCACATGCCTGTGTGCTCTCTGGTCCACATTCTAGAAGAGGGCAGATCAGCAAGACAGCCACCTCCTCACGGTGCAACTGACAAGTGCCGACCAGGGACTCGGGCCCAGGTCAGCCTGATTCTAGAAACCCCATGCTGTAAAAGGCCCATATTGGGGCCATCTGGAGATCGGGAGGGGACAGGGAAGGCAGGGGTGTGGGGCCATGCATAGAAGGGAACCTCTGACCATGCCCACTCAGTCCTCCCCTTAGCCAGGTGTGAGTCCCCAAGCCACCACTCCACCCCTGGCCCCTGGCCGAGGGAGACTTGAGATTGGGAGCAGGCTCGTCATGCCTGAGCTCTGGAGTTCCACATCACACAGCTGTCTATAAACTGTATTTTAATATTTGTATAAATAGACCCAGTATTACCAAAAACTGCAAGAACAAGTCATGGAAAACAGGCTTTCAAGCCCGTGCATACGGCCTCCTGCACTACATACACCAGCTGCAGCCTTGCCATGTGCTGTGGGGAACACGCAGAGGAAAGGAATACATCGCTGGGGTGTTTTGAACAGCAGGGCCTGAGCACGGAACTTTCGGCTCCCCATGCCTGCTGCTGACCTCTTGATCTGTTACAAAAATAATGCCAGCAGGTGGGTGGTGGGAGTCGTGGCCATGCCAGGGAGAGGGTGACAAGAGGTGCCCTCGTCACAGGCAGGCCCCAGCAGTCCAACTGCCCAGGGCGGCGGTGCTGGGGGAGGGGCAGGGCGGCATGCCTCAGTCTATCTTTGCACGTGCCGGACAAAGGCCTGCACCAGCTGGATCAGAGGCTCCTGACTCTCAGGGCTGGCTTTGGAGAGAGAGGTGGACTTGCCCTGAGGCGAAGGGAGGACGCCAGCAGCGGGGGAACTGGGGGCTCCCCGGCGGAAGTAGCGCGAGAGGCTGGAGAGCAGCGTGCTCTGCAAGAGAAAAGGTGGCTCCGTAGGGCCCAGCATCTCTGGGCCACTGTCTCCGACCCTCAGGGGCTGCTGGGCAGGACCCACACGCTCTTGCCCTCCTGTCCCCTCCAGTCAGCTCCCACAGCCATCCATACCAGCTCAGAGCTGAGCTCCTGCTTCATCCGCTGTTTGTCCCGGGGGTGCACAGCCGGGTCCCGAAGGTACCGCATTGCTTGGGAGATGAGCAGGTAGAAGCAGTTTTCCATGGTAAACATCAGCAGCGACCTGGGAGGAGGGCGGGGCTTTGGCACTGCTGCAGAGGGCTGTGCCAGCAGGTCCGGGCTGGCCGCACATCCAAGAGAACGGCAGGCCCATGACTGCCCAGCCCCTGGTGAGTCCCAGAAGGAGGTCTTACTTTAATGTCCTGGTCCCTTCTGCCTGTGTGCTGAGCCCCACAGCCTGGGGGAGGGGCTCCTTTTTCTTGTCCAGCTGGTGGGAAAAAAGCAGGCAGTAAAACAACAAAAGACAAGAGTAACAACTCCCACTTACTGACAGCTTCCTACTTGGCAAGTCCTACACAAAGTGATTTCCATCAGTTACCTCAGTCCTCACAGCAATTCTCACGGGTGGGTTCTATCATGCTCAGTTTATGAGTGGGCAGGCTCAGGAAGGCTAGATAGAATGCCCACGGGCAGCTGGGAAGTGGCAGAGCGGCAGACTGCGAGGAAGAGCTGGGGAGAAGACTCCATCTGATAGCACCCAACTTACCTCTCCAAGCATGTTGAGGGCCACATTCACTGTAGCCAGAAGGGTCCCAAAGGAAGGGGCCACTTCGGAGTCAAAGGTGGGAGTGGTGAAGCTCAGGGCAAATAGGAAATTGTATTCAGCAAGATCCAGGGACTACAAGGCAAGACAAGGAGAGCAACTAAGTACCCTGCTGAGGTCCCGGGAAGCTCTCAGTACAGAGTTTTTTTTTTTTCCCTTTTAAAATTTTATTTATTTTTGAGTCGGCGCCTTACTCTGTCACCCAGGCAGGAGTGCAGTGGCACACTCATGGTCACTGCAGCCTCAACCTACTGGTCTCAGGTGATCCTTCCACTTCAGCTTCCGAGTAGCCAAAGCTACAGGCGTGTGCTACCACGCCCAGCTAGTTTTTTGACTTACTGCAGAGATGAGGACTCGCCAAGTTTCCCAGGCTGGTCTCGAATCCCTGGGCTCAGGCAATCCTCTCGCCTCGGCCTCCCAAAGTGCTGGGATTACAGGCTTGAGCCACCACGCCCGGCTTGGAGCAGAGCTTTCAAGGCTCACTGCCAGAAGCTGGTGGTGCCAACAGGTGGTGGCTGGTACCTGATCCAGCAGGATTTGGCAGACATCCGGGGTGAAGTGGCGCAGGGCTGCCAGGGTCCTGCTAAGGATCTTGAGAAGGCCACACTGGACCGCGTGCAAGGCCCGTTGCTCCAAGGCTTCTGTATCAGCAGTGGGCTGCTTGGAGGAAGAGGAGCAGGAGGGGGCAGTGGGGGCGGCAGAGGGTGGCCGCTGTACTCGGGGGGTGACAGCCGAGGGGAGGCCATCCCCATTTTTGTTCTGGGGAGAGGAAGAAAAAGAAGGTGGTGCCCAGGAAAGCCAGGTGACGCATTCCCGGTGCTCGCGGGGGTTGGGGGCGCAGGTCACCTGTAGGTAGTGCTGCAGCATCTTGCGGCTGTGCAGGAGGGATGTACAGGCCTGGCACAAGTAACCCAGGTTGACCTGGACAGACACAGGAATGACAAGTAGGGATTCTACTGGTGGCAGCGGTCCCCGGGCTAGACCAACCCCATAGACTCCTATCTGACACCAGTGCTCTACTCTTACCTACAAATGCTCACCTGGCCACTCTCTAGCTTCAAGTCCTTACAGCCATTAAGTACTCAGGACTGCCAACTCGGGCCCAGCAGGGCTCAGGCCTGAACTCTTTCCCTGGGACCGATCTAAGTGCCTGGCACACTGTAAGGTCCTAAGCAGATAAAGTAGATGGGGACTCTGATTCCATTTTACAAGAAAAGAATATAGGCTAAGAAAGAGAGGTGAAGTGACGTGGTCAAAGCCACACCACCAGCAAATGACAGAAGCCTGTCTGGCTCCTTTCCCCACCGCTCTCCAGCTGTTGCCAACTCTAGGTCTGTTCTTCAGGGATCTGAGCTAAGGTCTATCTGATGGAGCCTGTGTAACTTACATGGCTGCCCTTCACTGTGAAGAGCAAGATTTAGCCAGAGAGCACGGGAGACGATGCCCTCTATTCCCCAAGCCAAAAGCCCACATTCAGGAACAGCTGCAAGTCACTGGAGCTGCCCACAGTGTCCACAGCCTTCCTGTCTCCAAGCAATCCCCAGAATCCTCCAAGTCCCAGCATCTGGAGCTCTCACCTGGACATCACGCATGAGCTGAGGCAGGTGGAAGTGCCACTCTTTCATGAAGTTGGAGAGCTGCAGAATGAAGCCCACAGTGTGGTCCGCCTCCTCCAGGCAGGCCAGACTTTGCACTGTCCGTACTGCATTGAGGCACTGGGAGGAGAGGAGAGGGGACAGCAGGATGAGGATGGCTCAGGGACCTGACATACCCACACCCATCCTCCTGTGCACAGAAAAGGTCTCAATCCCACGAACACTGAGGTGGCAGCTTGGCAGTACAACTGTCCGTGCTGGCTTGAGACCGTTCCTATCACTGCAGACTCTGGCTGGCCAGTGTGCCAGCAATCCCAAAAGCTTCCCAGAAATGAGAGCATCAACACCCCTCCACTGTCAAGGCTCACGCCCCACACCCACTTGCCCCCAAATGGCCCAGACCCCTTTGTACCCTGAGACCCCCAGCTCTGCAATGCTGGCAGCCCCTACCTGCAAGGTCCGCTCCTGGTGGACACCCATGAAGTCTAAGGCCTCAGTCAGGAAATTGTAGCGCAGAGTTTTGAGCAGCCGCTCCATCAAGGACATGGACAGGCGGTAGACCCCTGGCCAAGAGGGAGCATCCAGGGACTTCCGAGAGGCACTAGGTGTCTAAGACACAAACAGCAGACACACTAAGGACGTGGAGCCCCAGGAAAATGAGCTGCAGGTGGGGCAGGGCCTCCCTGCAGCCCAGCAGTTAAGGAGGGAAAAGACTTCTTGGAGTGGGCACAGCCACCACCTGGTGGCCGGGGCAGAAAGGTGCCGAGGCCAACAGATGCAAGTCAAGAGACATAATACCCTGAGTTCCAGACTCAAGTATACCACCCACTGCTATGTGAACCTGAACACACTGCTGCCGTACCCAAGCTCTCACATGCTTCCTCTAAGGCTAGGCTAGATTCTTAATACAGAATTGATGGCCCCACCACCCACCTCCCTTTCTCCTAGTCTTGGTCTGTTGGAACAGGTGGAGAAAAGTCCCAATGACAAACTTCCTTTGAGAAGGAGAGAGGAGGGGACAGCAGCCCTGGCCAGAGGCCTGGTCCTGGGATGTGTTCTCAGCTGCCTTTGGTCCTCCTTCTGCCTGTAACAGAAGACTCCATCCCATCTCCCAAAGGCGGTACACAGAGACCATGTGGAGCCTCTAGCTTCTCTTGCTAGAGACCAGCCTAGGACAAGAATGCCATCTCACCATCAGTGCATTAGACAGGCCATTAAGTGGAAAGCGACTGTCAAGGAGGGAGACTTCTCGATTGGAACCCCAGGTTGGCCAAGTCAGACCTGCCTGGGAAGCTCCTGGCACTCACCTGTGCTGTGCCATTGGTGCTGAGTTG